ACACACACACACACACACACACACACACACACACACACACACACACACACACACACACACACACAGTGTCAGTAAACAGCATTCAGTTGGCTGTTGTGGCTCGATTCCCCCCAGTGGCTGCGAGGTTGAGCGTTGAGTTTTCTGAACCATCTAAAGCTGCCAGGCAGCTCCAAGCCTACATCCAGTGAGCTGATTGAATTGGAAGGAGGAACTAATTGAATCTACATGGTGGTTTGGCATGATCTCACAGCATCTTGCTCGGTTACACCTAATGGTGAGCGTCTTAACGTCGTTATCTAAACTGGAGTCTGCTCTGGCTGAGACATCTAACAATGGAACAATGGAATCTAACTAAATGTGAGTTTTAACAGAATTTTACAACAATACCAGGGGTCGCCTTAACCGAATATTTCCTGTATTTGACTGGGCTCTTTTTTTAAACGGTGGTGGAAAAGTCTGATGGCCATCTGTCATTTTGACAGATTGCATGAATGGAAACTAGCTTAATTTTCAGACATGAATATTTATTTGCATATGCAAGGACTGCCACCATCTCAAACACCAACCCCCTCTGACTATAGAGTCTGAGCAAATGCCTGAGTTTCCTGTCAGAATGAGTTTTGTATTGTAGTTCAGTCCCACCTCTGGAAATGATATCATGGTAAATAAGGGAGTTCTCTCTCCTATCAGGTGACTTGACCCTCAAACATCAGATCCTACAACACTAAGACACGAAAACGTTAGTGTTTGTTGTTTTGTGGAGGCATGTAATAACTGGGCTTGTCGATAACGTAGAAACTTCTAAAAGCACAGTAAAAACTAGTAATATAGACAAGATGATAGCATAATAATTCTAAAAACATTCTAAACATCCCAAGAATAAATATGTATAAGTGCATTTAAAGTGCCCGTGACTAGGGCTGCCACGATTAATCGATTAATCGACGACTAATCGATTACTAAAATAATCGATGACTAATTTAATAATCGATTAATCGTTTTCTTTTTTTTTTTGTTCTTTACTTTGTTTTTTTCTCCAAACTGCTTTGACACCTTCCACTGCCACGTCTGCCTTTCTGTCCTTGACACACATGCACAGAAGTGGTAACTGGGGTAGGCCGTGGACGTCACAAGACATTATACAGACARGCTCTGGTATCATGGCTACCCAGCAACGGAGCTCAAAAGTGTGGGATCATTTTAAGAGAACTAAAGAGAAACCTGTGCAATATCTGCAGTGCAGAACTTACCTTCTACAGCAATTATTTTTAGTTAGCATATAGCTAAAATCTAACCATTGTTATATAATAGCAGCTGCATTCTGACGTGATAAGCTCTATGTTTTATATTCAATCAACGTATGATTCGATTAGTCGACTAATCGAATAAATAATCGGTGATTAATCGATTATTAAAATAATCGTTTGTGGCAGCCCTACCCGTGACATCAAATTTTTGTAATAAATATGCATTTTTAGACAAGCAGTGCAAGAGTTTGGTTTACTGTTAGTAAGTCGGACCCCTTCTGAGTGGGAGTTGGATTCTGCCAGGGCTACCCGTCATCGATTCTGTTCATAACTTCATGGACAGAATTTCTTGGTGCAGCCAGGGGGCAGAGGGAGTCCGGTTCTGTGGCCTCAGGATTTCATCTCTTCTGTTTGCAGATGATGTGGTTCTGTTGGCGTCATCGCGCCGTGAGCTTCAGCTCTCACTGGAGCGGTTCGTAGCAGAGTGTGAAGCAGCTGGAATCATCACCTCCAAATCTGAGTCCATGGTCCTCAGTCGGAAAAGGGTGGATTGCTCTCTCTGGGTTGGGGGTGAAGTTCTGCCTTAAGTGGAGGAGTTCAAGTATCTTGGGGTCTTGTTCACGAGTGAGGGAAGAATGGAGCATGAGACTGATTGACGGATCGGTGCAGCTGCTGCAGTTTTGTGGACTCTGTACCGATCTGTTGTGGTGAAGAGGGAGCTGAGCTGTAAGGCAAAGCTCTGTTTACCGATTAGTCTACGTTCCTACACTCACCTATGATCACGAACTTTGGGTAGTGACCGAAGAACAAGATCCCAGATACAAGCGGTCGAAATGAGTTTCCTCTGCAGAGTAACTGGGCTCTCCCTTAGAGATAGGGTAAGAAGTTCAGTTATCCGGGAGAGACTCTGAGTAGAGCCGCTGCTCCTCCACATCGAGGAGCCAGTTGAGATGGCTCGGGTATTTGGTTAAGATGCCTCCTGAACGCCTTCCTAGGGAGGTGCTTCAGGCATGTCCAACTGGGAGTAGACCCTGAGAAAGACCCAGACACGCTGGAGAGACTATGTCTGTTGGCTGGCCTGGGAACACCTTGGAGCCCTCCCAGAAGAGCTGGAAGAGGTGGCTGGGGTAAGAGAAGAGCTGCTCCCGTGACCTGACATGGATGGATGGATGGATGGATGGATGGATGGATGGATGGATGGATGGATGGATGATACTGATAACATATTGCAAAAAAGAATTCACGCCACTGAGATGAACAGTTGTTGAGATATTTGCATGTGAAGAAACAGGAAGTGATGTCAAAGGGGAATGTCTGCATGTGAGCAGAGCATTGTTTCAACAGCCAACAAACTGTAGAAGAATCTGATGTTTCTTTAGATTAGTTTGAGTCACTACCAGAGATGAATAAGAGTCAAATATTGTTTCAATAAACAAAGACCAGAGTTTCCCTTTGATGTCACTTCCTGTTTCATTTTTGCTGATCCAAGTTCAAAATAAAATATGCCAGTCATGTGACAAAATGGGTAAAATAATAAAAAAAAAACTATGTCATTCATCCGTCTACTATCTCAACCTGCTTTATCATTTCAGGGTCACAGGGGTCACTGGTCACTGTGTGAGGGGCGGGGTACACCCTGAACAGGTCTCAAGACCACAGAGAGACAAACAATACACCCAATTATTCACTCTGACTTACTGTTTAGATTTATCAGATAACCTAACAATCGTGTTTTTGGTGCACAGAGAGAACATGCAAACTCTACCCAGACAGGTCCCCTGCTGGTATTCAATCCGACAACCTTCTTGCTAAGAGGCATCAGCTCTACCAACTGTATTATGTCAAGTTTCTTAAATAAAGATGATTTTTTAAAACTTTTATTTGAAGGCTTCATTGGCTTCACTCAGAAAAATGTCACAGCAGCTGAGTGTTCCAAGTTTCTTCAGAAATCCCAACAACGATGATGGTGTTGATAAAAAAGGTGATAAAACAGTGTGGCAGCAGAGCGTGAATTCAGCCTCCAGAACATGAAGACAGCGAGACGTCGTCTGTTCCAGGCAAAAGTCCAAAAGCTCGTGATAATAACCCCTACAGCAAGCCCCTTTGAGAGACTGGGTTTAGGCCACAGCAGGTGACCTGTTCATGTTTGTGCCATTTTGATTTCTGCTCAGTTTGAGCTGAATCTTACAACATTACCAATGGAAACATTTGCATTTTATTGATTATGTGTAGTTATTGAGACTACAGTCAGTTTTTTTTGTTCCTGTTTTGTTTCTGTTCAGCTTGTTCTGATGGAAAACAAATGCCCTGAAAGTTTCATTATCATTTTAAAAAAACAGGATAACCGTAAAAACAGATTATGATGGGTTTTATTTACCAGGCACACAATGTATTTAGTACTCTTCTCCCCCTGCTGCACTTACACTCTTTTTAATCTTGTTTCGGATCGTCTCCAACACCCCAGCGCTGTCGCTCTCACACAGCTTCTCCGTGGTCCTCAGGTCGTCGCAGGCCATCTGCATCTTCTCCTCCTCGAACGTCATCATGGCGTTCTGCAGGGAAACATCAAAACATAAATCTTATTTTTTAGCTGCTTGTTGGAAATACTTTGTAAATGGACAGAACTTAGAGTTTTTCTTGCATTAAAAAAATTAAATAAATTTCAATTCATGCTTCATAAACAAACAAATCAAATGCGAGCTGATACCATAACAAGAACATTTATTGGGTTTGTGACACTTTGGACTGAAGCACCAACCCCACATTTAGCTGATAACCCTGAAAAAAAAACACAGAGAATAAAGCAAAACAAACACAAATAAAAAACATTATTTTGATGTTAAACTGACTCATCAGCTGCTAGAGCTATAGCCTGAGCAATGGAGTGTTATGTAACTGATTAAAAGGAAAAAAAAAAAACAACAGAACTATTACATAAATGCAGAAACTCTGTGCCACATGCACAGCTGTATGCAGAACGCTTTCCTGCACACAGAAGCAGAAACATTTGCAGTGGATGCTCTGATGAAGCAGAAACATCACAAAAAGTCATGCAGAAGCTTTAAAATCTGTAAGATTTGTGTCACATGTGGAGGTGATGAGTGGAATATGTGCTGCCCTGGATCAACCGTCACCTCCTATAACAACCATTAGGGGCAGAGGATGACATCATGCTGTCAGGACCAACATGTGAGGAAGTGACAGTGCGTGTGTGTTTGTGTGTGTGATCATGTCATGCATCATCTCCCTCTCCACACACACACAGCAGTGTTGCAGTAATGTGTTTCTCTGCGCGACCGATGCTGCTCCTGAGCGGCAGCTGCATCCATTATGTTAATGGTTGTGAAAAGCTAAACAAAAGAGAGACAGTCAGTGCGCCTGGTGACAAAGATGCAGCTTGTTTGACAGATTCCACGGTTTCTGGTCTCATCGTCTAACACAGATTTTGAGTCCTGTATCTTTTTTTTAACCACTGACTGGTAGCGACTCACCAGAAAACTGACGAAACTTGCCCCGAAGCTCATCAACGGGCTCTGCGTCCTGCAGAAATAACACAATGATGAAAACAAAAGGTTTACTGTTAGTTTAAATAAAAGGCTGCAAAGTATTAGAAACTAATTCTTGTTATTTATTTAAGTGCATGTGGCTATAAAAGCTATAAAGTCTTTTATTTTGTTAGTTTAAACAGATTTTTGGAGATCCGGGTGCTCTGAAACTCTGAAATGTTGATATTTTAGGGGTTTTCTGTTTCATGACCTGTACTGTTTTTACTGCTAAACTTAGAAGAAAATCTAATTTAATGACTTGATATATTCTTGCAGTTTTAAAGCTGCAATTATAGAATGGATTTCTGATAATGTGAGGACTGATTCATCACTCACTGCTCATTTCCTGTTTTCAGTGAGTGTTTTTTTCCCAATCTAACCCCTCAGTCTTTGTGTTGTATACATTCAGCTCCTCTCTTGAGGAACCAACTTCCAGTTTCTGTCCATGAGGTTGACACTCTGTTTACTTTTAAGATTAGACTGAAGACTTTCCTTTTCATAAATCATCCTATAGCTAGACTTAGGTTTCCTGACTTATTCTTCATTTCTGCTGCTATAGACTTAGACTGCTGGAGCACAAACTGAGCACATTTCCTCACTCTGCTTTCTTTAGTCTCTCTCCTCTACATGTTTGTTTTAATGACTTCTATCAATAATGTGTTTTTTTTGTCTCTTCCAGAGGTAAATACACCTGGACCAGTCCTCCTGTGTCTCTTTCCTGTCCCTCAGAACCCAGCCGGTCGAGGCAGATGGCCGCCTGTCCTGAGCCTGGTTCTGGTTCTGCTGGAGGTTTCTTCTTGTTTAAAGGGAGTTTTTCCTCTCCACTGTCACCAGTGTGCTGCTCAGGATGGAGACTGTGATGAAGTGATTCAACACAATCTGCTGGTTTCTTTAGATTGATATATTTGTTTATTTATTATTATTATTATTATTATTATTATTATTATTATTATTATTATTATTATTATTATTATTGTTGTTGTTGTTGTTGTTGTTGTTGTTGTAGTTGTTGTTGTTGTTGTTGTTGTTGTTGTTGTTGTTGTTGTTGTGTAGAGTGCCCTGAGACGTTATTTATTGTGACTTGGTGCTATGTACATAAACTAAATTGAATTAAATTGAAGAAAATGGGTGCTATGACTGTAGAGTTCTGCAACATTTTAAATATTCAACTTTACAGTAATTTTCACCATAAAAATACACTGAGGTGTCTTTAATTCTTTAAAAAATATTGTCTAATTAAACCTAAGTAAACCTGCTTTACTTTCTTCTTCTTGTGCTACATTTAGGTTTTAGCTACTAATTTAAATACTTTCAGCTAGCTAGCCTACATTTAGCTTTTTGCTAGCCTTTTGCTACTTTTAATTTCTAGCTGCCATTGTGCTACTTTTAGTTCTCTGTTAGTTTTTTGCTACTTTTATCTTATACCTAACATTTTTCATATTTTAGCTTGCATCATGCCTCTTTTCACTTTATCTAACATTTTGCTTCTTTTAGCTAGTGTTGTGCTTGTTTAAGTTAGCCTTTTTCTACTTTTAGCTTCTCATTAGCATTTTGCATCTTTTAGCTTGCATTTTGTTTCTTTTCACTTTACCATTTTGCTGTGTTTAGCTCATGTTCACCTTCTTTAAGCTAGCCTTTTGGTACTTTTAGCTTCTCAATAGCATTTTGCATCTTTTAGTTTGCATTTTGTTTCTTTTCACTTTAAGAATTTGCTGTGTTTAGCTCATGTTCTCCTTCTTTTAGCTAGGCGTTTGCTACTTTTAGCTTCTTGTTAGCATTTTGCATTTTTTTAGCTTGCTTTTATTTTTTGCTGCTGTCTTGGCCAGGTCACCCTTGGAAAAGAGGTTTTAAATGTCAATGAATCTTTTTCCTGGTTAAATAAAGGATACTACTGCATTTTGCTTCTTTTCACTTTAACATTTCGCTGTGTTTAGCTCATGTTGTGCTTCATTGAGCTAGGCTTTTACTACTTTTAGCTTCTTGTTAGCATTTTGCATCTTTTAGCTTGCATTTTGCTTCTTTTCACTTTACAATTTTGCTGTGTTTAGCTCATGTTCTGCTTCTTTAAGCTAGGCTTTTGCTACTTATATCTTCTCGTTAGCATTTTTACATTTTTAAGCTCACATTTTGCTCCTTTTCATTTGCTTCTTTTAGGTAGCGCTCTGCTTCTTTAGACCAGAGATTCCCAAACTTTTTATCTTCTGACCCACAAAATATCCATGGCTTAAACTTGTGACCCCAAATATTACTGGTCTGAGTACAGGAACTTCATTGATAACCCTAAAAACACAGGCTTTTTGACAATCGAAACAGTTTGTACACAAATATAAATACTTATTTATACTTATTTTGTGTTTTTATAATAATTATAGGGAAAATATTACATCAGCAATTATTTTATT